AAGAACGAAGATAGTAGGTAAGCAATTTGGTAAATTTCTTAATCTTTTTAAATCAATTAACTGGATATTATATTAAGAATTGGAGATAGCATTATTTTCAAATACTTTTTCTTATTAGAAATGTCATATATTAACAACAGGAGCAGTACAGTAATGGTAAAAGCATATTCGACCATGGAAAAAGGGGGCATTAATTATTAGGCTGGATTCCTGTGAGCTGTCTGTCCCTCTCAAGACAGGACAATTTATTGGGCTTTAATGATAGAAGCCCAGCAGGTTGGGTAAATATTTGTCAGCATTTGGGTGAGGTAATTTCTGCGGGCGCAGTGAAAGGGGGGAGAATGAGAGGCCCACGAAGGGTGAAACAGGCCTCCAAATATCTCCTCACCCTTCATTGTGCACAATAAATGGCGTCTGACAAATATACCTAATCCTCACTCTCAAGTCTCAACCCCACGCTGGCACGCTCATAGATCTAGAGGCTGGCCCCAAAAGAAAAATGAAAAGAAAATCAGAGTCTAGAGGGAAACAAGTAATGAGGAGGGCAATAATGTCACTACACTCACAGGCAGTTTCCTTATGTAACACTATCTTTAGTCCTGATTATAAGACATTATTTATAGTTTATAAATAAAGTTTTATAATTAAAACCGAAGGTTGTATAAGATGCGTGTATAGGCATGCTTCCGAGGGGGCGATGCAGGAGATTGCTTAGAAGTTGTGAGCAGTATGATGGATGCGGCCAAACCACCTGAATTACTGTCTTCTCCATGGCACGGCCCTCGTAATCTACGATTAAGACAGCACAAAACTCTGTTCTTTTAGACAAATGACATGCATGCAATTTCATATCAGTGTGTAATTCAGTTTCAATATTACACACATTTCACATAGGTATTTTCACCACCTTCTTAATTTCCCCGTCTTGGATGCGCCCGCATTACAGCATGGACGAATTTTTATTTGCCATTCTTGGGAAGCTCGGCTGTGATGTTATGCGGGAGGAACGGGGCCTGAAGATGGGCTTTAGTTACTATACGGGATAATAGATAGATGTGGGCCGGGGGCAATAATCATCTGTTGAAATAGATGAATATATATATATATATGCATATATTTTTGTGTGTGTGTGTGTGTGTGAACTATAAAAGGCTGGACGTATTTGAGGATTGGATGGGCACCTTCCTCCCGTGTTAGCACACAAAAAAATTTAAAAAAAAAAAGCGGAAGAGGAGGAGGAATTCTGTGATGTGTAAGAAAGGGAAGAATGGGGATTTTTTTCCTTGGGTACAAAAAGGATGGGAATTAAATGCATAAGAGGCATAAGTTTGTGAACACATTTAAGTTGTGTTTGGCGTAGGTAAGGTATTTACTACTCTTGGATGGGGTTGGCAAGCAAATTTGGGAATTGAATGGGTTTGCATTTAATGAGAGCCCAACCCCATTAATATTCATCACTCTCTCCTTAAGGCTCATCTAACTTATTTAAGTTGTTACCCAAGACGTCTCCCTGTGCCTTTTTCAAACTCCATTCCTGCTCCCTCTTTTTGATGTAAAATGAAACCTTTAAACAACACATTCAAAAACGAAGTGAGCAAAACCCCACCCCATCCAATTGTTACCCAAGAGTTTCCCTGCCTCTCATTCTTCACATGTCACGCCCCTTCCCCCTCGCTCTCTCTCTCTCTATGTCTCTGATGTTGCAATACAATCACATCATCTCTTTCCTTTTAACTTCTCTCGTCTCATTCAATGCATCTCTTTTCAATATTCAGCTGCCTGCTTTATCCCCAACGGCTTAACTAACCCGCCTCAATATGCCTTCAAGGCTTCAATGCAACTGCCAAACAGATGTCTTCGATGGCTCGCCAGTGTAAAGTTTGATAGAATGATCAAAGAAGAACCCATCCTTCTTCAGTTACGACCCCACACCACTTTCGCACTCTACTTACACCTTTAACACCTTCCGCATCCTTGAGGATGCCCAATAACTTCTGACCCTCTCTCTTCCCCAACCTAAATGTATATATATCATACACTTCTGATCAGATTGATGCTTTCCCTCCATTTCGCCTTCCCTCTGATTACGTCAAGTTTCAGCTATCCTCTTCCTGGAGGGTGACAATGGCTAGGTTTCTCGCAGCACTGATCTTGGTCCTCGTGCTTATTTCCATGCTTCAAACAATGATTTCGTCTCTCTCTATCTCTAGCTACTCTCATACATAAAAAGCACCACCTTTTATTCTTTTGTTCGGATCTGGATATTAATTACTGCTGGAGATTCAATGGTGCGATCATCCCTCATATATTACCACTCATACAGGGCATGGCTTCTCATGGGCACGGAGGCCACCACTACGATGACAAGGTAATTAACGTTCCCTAACGAATTATCCACTCCACTTCCATTCTTCGTTTTCTTGACGATGGGGTTAAGTTTGGACCTAGTGTTCTGCTTGCAGAAAAAATTTGGACCCGGCAGTCTCAAGAGCTCCGGTAAGTTAGCTAAGTTTTTTGCTTCAGTAATGTGCTTTGTTTTTTACGCCTATATGTGTTTGTGTGTGCACATATATATAAATATATGATTGAGAGTGTGAGCATAACAATGAAACTGGAGAGCAGAATGCCCATCAGAATGCTCAAGGAGGTGCAAGAAAACAGTACCACAAAGCGTGCATGTTCTTCCGTCAGAAGTGCTGCCGGAAATGCCTGTGTGTGCCTCCTGAGTCCTGACCATTATGGCAACAAAGCTGTGCGCCCTTGCTACAACAACTGGGAAGACCAAGGAGGGAGGACCCAAATGCCCTTAAACTTACCCTCTCTCTTACAAAATTATTTGTACCTCTTCAGTCATTTTAAAATGTTTAATACACTAACAATTACACTGAAAATAATTTACTATACTTTATAATAAAAAAATTAAATCAAACGATGCAGCTTGGGGGTAAAGTGGTAAACGACCGCCGCCGATGATAAGCAAAAAAGAGAGAGAAGCTAGTTTCCCATACTCCGCAGTTCAATTACTAGTCCCCAAGATAGATAAACGCCAAAACAGGGCACTCCGTCTCTATCATTAATGAGGGGACCAAAGCGTCATTTGACACAATCATTTTGATTTCGGTGTTGATGATACATGTCAGCACGCATAATAGCCAGTGCTCGCGCCTAATGTTTGATAATAGTAATAATAATAAGACTTTCATCCCGTGGAAGTTGGCTCGGATTTTATGTTTAACAAAAAAAAAGGGGGGGTCCCTGCGTAGGCAGGTGCACTGTTGAGGATAACGTGCACGCACGTTGTAACAGCAGAAACAGAGTACTAAAGTCTAAGACTAAATAAGCCTGTTGGGTTCTGCTGAGAATGATTGAAGCTCTTGATTTAGACAGAGGAATAGGATTATGGGTGGGATTAAGAAATTGGAAAGTTGATGTGTCTAATCGGGTAATTCGGGGGGTCACGTCTGGGAATAGCGTGTGATTTGTGGTGGCAGGGGCAGAAATGTGCCTTAATATGGGGTTTAATCAACTTTTTTTTTTGAATGCAAGGTTTAATCAACTTTATTGACTTTGGATGATGGGAGATAACTCCCGTGTTAAGCTAGGCTTGTATTATTAGGAAAAGTGCTGCGTACCACACTGGCTAATCAGAATCTAGCCTTCTTAATCATAGGATAAAGATGGGTTTGGGAATTTGGGAATCAACACAAAGATAAGGGCACTGTTATACAAATCTAGCGTTTTTTTTGGATTATATTCGACCCTCCGAAGCATGACGCAGATCCACTCCGTATCACTTTCTTGAACCCTAATTTTATGCAGCGCACTGGGAAAAATCACCAAATTCAACCACTGACTTGAGTTACTCTTGATTTTTTTTAAAAAAAAAAAACCCAACATACCGTCCAACTCTTATTGATATTTCTGAATTAGAGGCAATTAAGGACGAAAGGCCTATCCGAGCCTGAGCCCAGTGGCTAGGGACATCAAACCTGCCCTCTGCCCTGCACAGTACCACAACAGTAACGAAATTACTGATTTACTCAAACAACCTGGACTGGACCCCCTCTTCATCTATACATCTGGTATAGGCCTATCATAAACTTACGATTAGAGATGAATAAAACACATTACTCATTACTTAAAATTAATGTAATTCCTTAAATTTTTTACATTATGTCTAAATAAAACAAATTTAACCCACTCGTTATTAACAAATCATTTTTTTAAAAAAAATTTGACAATAGATATTTATAACTAATTAATCTCGCCTCCGGACGACATATAACTGAAAGGACCGCAAGCCGATAACACCCCCAGTGTCAACGAAACAATATTTTAATTCCCACATTCTCAATTACATGAACCATCTGCTCGCTTTCCAGAATCAAATAATTAAATATAGCAAAGCGATCATCTACTTCCCTTATAAGGAAAAGTGCCCAAATTCCCCCACCCTCCCGTTGCTTGATATATAAATATTAAGATTAGATTACCATGCTTTCAGAGACCACCTTCCAGTAAATCGTAAGGATTAGATTCGCCCAAACTACTAATAAAATAACATAAACCCAACAAGCCTTACAACCCCCGAGTACAAAAGCATGCAGATGGAAAGAATAACACAAGGCACCAGTTAAAATAATATGGTGTCTTTTGGAATCATTGGTTCTCGTTCCCATCCCTAATCAAAACTTTCCCTATTAATTAATTCGTCCATCACTTTATCGGATGTCATCGGGAATGCCAAAAACCTTGCATTTTAAGACACTTCCTAGTTCCTAATAGATTAGGTTAATTTAAATACACCTTCCCTCATCTATTTTGCTTCATTGTTCATTCACTAAAGAATGGCGTAGCCCAGTTCAAAACCGACTCCCCCTTATAAAATCCCCGTAACAACACTTTCTGGCAAAGCCGACCCAAAACTGGGCGAGAAGGAGCAAAGGGGTTAGAACTCAAATCTACCAATTTCCATATGAACCATTCGAGCGGCAAAAGAATAGCAGAAACCCTGAAAATAAATTCCTTCTGGATATAGATGTCACTCACGTTAAATATCCTTAACTTGGTAATTCATAATCTCATTAATAAAAGCTAAACAAAAAGGAGGGGGGGAAAAATGAAAGAGAAAGAGAAAGAAACGACTAATTAACTGATACCAGCTTGCTCTATCTAATATATTATTTTCCTCCTTAATCTCCACCGAAGATTAAGAAGATGAAGACGACCCGTTAGTACCGGCGTTTGCCCCGCTATCGTTCTGGCAGTGATGATTCGGATCCTGGGTGCTGCCGTTGTTGTTGTTACGGGTGATTCCATTCTCGTGATTGTTGTCTTGGTCTAACTCGAGAACGTTTATATTCCCATTCATCGCGTCTTTCTTCCCCAGAGTGTTCTTATTATTGTGCATCCAAACCTTCAAAACACCTCTATCAACCCCGACCTCGTGGCAGAACTCCTGCACCAAGTCCTCGTCTCTCTTCTGCATCTTCCACCCCACCCTCTCAGCGAACTGGTACATTTTGTCCTTCTGCTCTTGGGTGAACTTGGTCCTGAACCGCTTCCTAGAATTCAAAGTCGGCGTGCCCAAAGCACTGGCCGGACCAGCCGTACTCTCCGGATGGATCGGTAAACCAGCAGAGAGGGCCAGGAGCACGTGGGGTGCGGAGGGGTAGTAGGAAGATGAGATCGGGGGTGGGGAAGCTGAATTGGGGCTCCGATTCGGGGCTTGGAACGGCGGGGGTGGCGGAGGGTGGTGCCGATGGTGGGGCTGATACTCGATGACGTGGGTTGCGGTGGAAACGGGCTCCTCGGGCTCACGGCGATGAAAATTGCGGTGGCAGCCGCAGGCGGCGCATTTGATGGAGCTGGGGTCGGCAGAATTGGCACTGGGAGAAGGCATGAACTCGCCGCAACCGTCGAGCGCGTGGCCTCCCAAGCTGGCTGCATGGTTTTTCAAGCATTCTTTATAGGTGACCGGCACGGGATGTTTGTGGTGGGGCTGGTGGCGCTTCAGGACGCCGTTGGAGAATGACAAGGACTTTACCGGTGCGGGCTGGATCCGGGTCGGAATTTCACCGTCATGTTCTGGGGATTTGGCACCGGTAGAATTGGAGGCGGCGATGTGGTTGAGAGCGGTGGAGGTTAAGTCCATGGCCCGAACATCCAGGGTCCTCAAAAGCAAAATCTATGCGCGGGTTTAAGGGGTCATTAGGGTTAGGCTTTTGTCCAGGATAGGAATCTATAGCACAGTGGTTCGCGGAGCGAGTGTTTTGATTATGTGGGAAAGTAAAGTAATTGGAGCAGTGAAGCTCGGAAGAAGACGAGGGAGGAGGAGGAGGGAGATGACTGTTGATAATAGGAATCAGGGTTATGTGGTTGTGCTTCTTAACCACCTGGGGTTTTTTTAACCCTGGTTCTAATATGTAGTTAGGAGGGGGACCCCACAGGGGGTTAGAGGGAGAGGAACGGGGAAATAGAAGTGGCGGATGAAGAAGAGAAGAAGTGGGAAGGGAATGGGAAATAGAAACGGGAATTGAAGGGAGGGATTGGAATTGGGAAATGAGAATAAGGAAGGGAATGAGAAGGGGGAGAGGAAAAGAGAACGGGGGAGTATATGAAAGGCAATAATGAGGGGGTCAGTGCGGAGTTGACTGTGGGGTAGTTCCTTGCATGGGGTTGGAGGAGCCTGCAGTTCTGAACCATTTACTGTTTCGCATCCAAATTTGGTGAAGTTGCCAGTCCCCCACCCACAGCTTTCCCAGTAAAAATCATTGAACCCTCTTCATTTTCTTTTCTTTTGTTTTTTTTTTACGCCCACCCCTTCCGATTTGATAACGGTGATATGCCTGAGCCGGCGTTGGCAAATAAATAAGTAGGTTCATGTTTTCTCAATATTCCTATAAAACAGGACTAGCGGCAAGAAAAATCGCAGCTCCAGGTAATTATGGTCCTTTCTTATTGAAAATGTTTCTTGAGTATTTCTAGGAAGTGAGAAGATAGGAAGTAGCCTCTCAGTTAAATGGAAATGTTGAGATGATGACGATGATCGTAGCAATAATTCTGTCTTTTGATGTGTTAATTTATGCGCACACATGTAAAGTTATTTATTCGGGAAATACTCTTATCCTAAATATAAGATTTATTATGTAATATAAATTATACTATAAAATAATTTGTATATTTTGAATAAGATAAATAACTTTTCAGAACAGTAAAATTTTAAATTTTTTGTACTCGTACCCTCTTAAACATATATGTCGGGTGAGAAGAAAATCCCCCTTGTCTCTTTTAAAACCCCCCCCCAAAAAAAAAAAAACAGCAGAGTTCCGACTTCTCTGGCAATGGAACTCAATGGATTTTTTTTTAATACATCTTAATATAAGAGATTTAGTATTTTTAGTTCTACGATGTATAAATGTAAATAAACCAGAATTAAATGTTAAAAACTCTCATATCAGTTAGAGTTGGGCTTCATAAATAATACTCTTTTCAGTCTTTTTATTTTAAAATCTCAAAATTGGAATTGTTTTCATCGTTTTCATAACATTCGGATTAAGGGCATTTGAATATTAAATGTGTTCCTACCAAATATTATAAAATCTCAAATTAACTAATTTTAACTTTTTTTGAATCACTTAATTTAGTTAATAAGGTCTTCTATAAAAAAAAATGGGAGGGAGTATATCATAAAAACCAAATATTCATAAACTTAAATTCAAAATTTTGTCTGGCAACAAAAACAAAATCAAATTTCAGCTAAGATATACGTGTGTGTATTTTGCTGTGCATTTATTATGAAGTAGTGTTGTCACAAAAAAATCAAATAGTGTTGTTTGGTTACTTAGGAAAAGTAAAAATATGATAAAAATTTTGTCTTGATTGGTCTGAAATCATGTTTTTATATTACCATGCACTTATTATAATATTTTTTGTCGTATTTATAAGGTATTTTTAATATATTTTAGACACAACAATAAAAATCTTAAACTGTATTAACTCTCTGTTAAAATATAACAAATTTTTAACTTTATCTCTATTTAATATATCCACATTTAAAAAAAAACTATTTATACTATAATAAATGAATAACAAAAAAAAGTATTGTTTTTTGGTTACTTAAAAAAAGTAAAAATATGAGAAGACTTTTACCTTGATCTGTATGAAAGTATATTTTTACATTGCCGTGCACTCATTACAATACTCTTATAGTTTTATTTCTATTTATAAGAAACTTTTAACATGTTTTACATAGAATAAGAAAAACTTTAAATCGTATTAACTATCTGTTAAAACATAATAACTTTTTAACTTTATTTATTTTCAATATATATGTCTTTCGAAAAAAATAATCATCAACGTAATAATAAATTAATGACAAAAAAGTATACTTATACTACTAAAAATTTAATAAAATGATTTATAAATAATATTTAAAAAAATTTATTTTATAAATAGAACCGGATGGATAATACTACCTCTGGTCCTAATTATAAGACCCAATTGACTAATTTGAGGAGATTAAGGAAAGAAGTTAAGTTGGTTATTTATAATAAATAGATGTTGTCTTTCCTAAAATATCCTTGCTAATCAACTATATTGGCTAGAACTATAGTTATTAGAAGGACTACCTTGAGAAAAAAATGTATAAATATGAGAGACAAAGTGGATTGGAGTCTTATATTTAGGACCGAAATAAAAGTCAAACAGGTTTTATATTAAGGACCGGAGATAGTAGTATTGTTTGGTTGCTTACTGGGACTCGAAAACAAATGGAAATGGACTTATTCGCTTAGCCATCATACGAGGACGCATTGGCAACTTCGTGCTCTCTTTGTTCTTGTTTACAAGAGGAGTTTCGAATAGGAGCAACGGGATTGGATTTAGGGGGTGTTTGGGTTCCAACCCAAATTATGGTTTGGAAAAAAATCATCCAAACACCTTTAAAAAAATCAAAACCAAGGTTTTGGCTCCAAAATCATGGTTTTGGGAAAAGCAAAAAAAATTTGCTTTTAGAAAAAAAAAAAAGAGTGTGAGAACCTATAAAATATGTATCTTGTTGTTTTTTTTATAAACATATTTTTTATAAATATATTTAATCTTATATCTTATAAATATATATACATATTAATTATTTATTAATTATATTATCTTATGTATTATTAATTATGTTAATAAAAAATATATTATTAACAATTTTATTCCTTCAAATTAAAATATATCATAAAATATATTTTTTCTGTAATTATCATATTAATTTATGTCTTTTTTTAGTAATTTGTATATATAAAAAGTGCTTCTGGTAACAACTATCTAAACACTCTTACTTCTCAGAATCACTTTTTCAAAAAATCTATTCTTCAAAAAATCTATTCTCCCCAGAATCTATTCTTCAGAAGCTATTCTCCAAACCATGATTTGATTATATCCAAACACCCCTTTAATAGAAGTAACTAATCCCTCACAAATTAAGATTTAAATCCTTATTAGAAGAGGTGTTAAAATTTAATATCCGATAATGCCTCAAATAAAATTATTTTCAATAAGAATATACCTATACTTTAACAAGAAAAAAGAGGCGTTTCTATGAAATGATATGCTTCTTTTTTTTTAATATTAGACAATGGGTCTATTTGGATTAGTCAGAAAAAAACTTATTTTCAATTTGGGTAAAAGTTAGATTAAGCAATGTGATTTATGTTTGAATTGATTTTTATAAAAATTAGTTTATAGAGTAAAAAAATTGTTTGAATTATAATTGAATAAATAAGTTTAATTTGTAGAATGACCAAAACGGGTATAACTTTTATTAAAAATAAAAATGATTAAAAATATGAATTTACATATATAATAATTTTAAATCATTATAAAAGGAAAAAGTTATATTTAATGAAGAAAATATATTTAAATTATAAATAGTAATAATGTGAAAATTTTTGAACCAAAAAATATTACATAGTTAGTTGGATAATATGCTCTGCATAATTTGTGTAAATATAAAATAAAAATAATATTAAAATTATTTTTACTTGAGAGAATATCAAAAATAAATAACTAAAAACTAATTAGAAAGCATAAAGAATATATAAAGAGAAGTATAAGAATAAAATAAACATAAGAACAAAAATATCTTTTAATTCCAAAAAACTAATTTTACATGAGTCATAAATAAATTTTAAGTGTTTTTACAATCATACTTTAAAAAAAAAACAGTTTTTGATCCATTTGCGAGGTTGGCCAAAAACTATGATAAATATCTTTTAGATTTATAAACTGATTTATTATACCTATAAGTTACTTTTGTCCCCCAAAACACCTTACCAAACAAGCTGGATATTTAGACATTTGCTTTTTTTTTTTTTACATCTACTCTCAATTAATTATTTACCTCCTCTTCTTCTTCTTTTTTCAACTTATCCTTTTTCATATTTTTTTCTACTTAGTTTCTTTCACACCCTCATTTTTCATAAATAACAATGTTTTTAAAAAATAAATTATTTTTTCGTATTTATCATTTCTGACTAATTTTAATCAAGATGATGGAGTCCATCTTACTTAACCACCCCAACGATACTCCAGCCATCACTATTTATCGTTTCTGATTTTTAATATAAGATTTTATTTAACTTTTATTTTAATTTTAAATATAAGATCTCAATTCATTTTGTCTTTCATATTTATCTATTGTTTTATAATATGGTTTTTTTAATAATAGTAGTTATAACTAATAAATTTGATTAGTAAAAATATTTTTTAAAAAAACATTTATTTATTATGAATAATTAATTTAACTTATTTTTTAAATATATTTAAATTAATAAATTAGTTATTATATTTAGGATTAGGGGTAATAAAATCCAAAAGATAAAAAGAGGAGAGTGGGCTGGGGAAGACACGAGAACCTCGCAAAAGAAAGTGCCACGTGGCGTCCACTCAGAAATCAAAGTCAAAAGTTAAAAACCTAGATGATGGATTTCAAACCCAAATTTATTCTCGGGAACAAAAGGGTGGGTGAGCGCTTCACTGTTAGCTGAGGGGTTACTTAATACTACCTTCGATATTAATTATAAAAACTACTCCATCAGTTCTTTATTATAAGAGACATTTAATGTTTATGGTATGTTTTCATATATAAGAGACACTTAAAAGTTGTCTCTATTTTTTTTATTGATTTCCTATTTTACCGCTATTTATTTTGTCTCCAACTCATACTCTCTCTCCCTCCCACTTCTCTTTCTTTTAATAATTTAATTGCTCTCTCTCATACTCCCTCTCCTTATTAATGGGGGCATTGTTGGAAAAAACATTATACTTTTTACACATTAATTGTCATTAACTAATTTTAACTGTTTTTTTATCAACATAATTTAGTTATTTGTTTCTTGTAATAAGGAACGGAGGGAGTAGTTG